TATATAATGTGCAGTGCACAAATATATATGTTTTGAGGTCTTTTAAGAATACATATCAATATTGAGTACAACCACCAAGTTATATCAAAATTATATAAATATATTCATTTTTAGTTAATTTTTTAACACATTTATTAATTTTTAGTTTTCATTTAATACGACACATAATTGTACAGTAAATTAAATGATGAAAGTAGTTTGGCAATTTGTACATATGCTTGAAACAGATCTATTGGTCCAAATAGATAAATCAGCTTTAACGACAGTACACGTATCATATTTCTTCCAATTATGTAAATGTTAACTCTTTTCTCTTTTCTATATTTCAGTGTTATGTGTGTGAGCGTACATTTTGTATTACACGCACACAAAATGTAATATTTGTCTTAAAACATAAATTGAAACTCAGGAAAATCTTTTACTTCCACTTTTTGTCGTAATTTTTAATGAGAAGTATGATCGTAGTTATCAAAATTATACATTCAATACTCACATAAGATGATGAAAATTTCTAATGACTGATTTTAATATCTTGATAAACGTTTTTAAGTCTATACAATTATACTTTATATGAAGTGAGAACAAAAATTTTACTTATTAGGAATTATTTGTGATAACATAGTTAATATGCTCTGCAAATAAGTGAAATATTCACTATTTCTGATCAGTGATTAATAATTTTTAACGTATGAAACAAAATATGAAATGACAATGATCTAAAGCATGCAATTTCTGATAATTGTAATATTTTAGTTTATGAACAATTTATGAATAGAATTAAGAATCAGACTGATCATATTTAATGATAGCAAAATATTTCTATTTGAATCAGATCAGAGCTGTATGTTTATTAAAATCCCAATCACAATACGATTTTTTTAATATTATTCCATTCTATAAATGTTTAATAAAATTCTATAAAATGTGTGATAATGTAAATTTAAAAGATGACTAATTATTAATACTATGTTGACAAAAATAATAAGTATTTTACTATCATTATGGCTAATTTCATCATCATTTTAATCTTTTATTTTTTATTTTTGTTATATCTATAAAATACTTTAATCTATTGGATAATTAATTAATTGTATGAAAAATATATTTATCAATTGTAATTATTTTCATAAGTATTTGTTATTTCATACAGAAATATATATTTATTTACATAACTATTGTTTATGTATTCCAAAGAAATGTCAAAATCAATTGAAAAAAGTAATTAATAATTATTGTTGTTAATTTTCTTTGATAATTAAATTGTATATATTTGTCATTCTACATTAATTGAATATGTACAAAAACTGTATTTTGTTGCTTGGATATGATTAAAGATATAAAAAAAAAGTATATAACTAATTGGGGAAATATTGGATAAATTCAGATGGATGAATGTAACAGTGACAAAAAATTGCTTCAAAAATTACCTCTAAAATTACTTGTAAGATATCAATAGTATTTTATATAACACAATATAATATTCATAAAAACACTCTATGGAAAACTATATAATTTTCATAGTATATATAGGAAATAACATTAATATCTCATAACATTGTGGCACTGAAATAACTTAAAAATAAAGGTATGTGTTTTTTAATCAATTTCAATAAAAAGTGTGTTACTTTGCCATTATATTTACATCATTCATAATGACAAACTAAATGTACAATTTTTTATAATATAGCACATAATTTTGATATAATATATAAAATATAATTAAATATTTTAATTTTTTTAAAGTTCTTAATTAACAAATTGGTAAACTGATTAATTGACAATCATTTACAATTAATAGGCGAAGTAAAACATTTTACCAGCTGAGTAATACTACATAGATAATATTAATAGAAATTTTAAATAAACAGAAGATGAAATTTGTGTTTAGCATTAATCAAACAAAATTCAATACCAAAAGGTGTTATAATTGTTATTAATTATAATTATGTGTATATAAGATTTAACATCTAAAAATACCAAATTAATTATTGAGGTAATTTTTTGTTATAATTACATTCATCTAGTAGAATAATGCAATCCTCGTGTTGGTTATTACTTTATATATGTGTTTGACTTCAGTAAAAACTTTCCCTTAAAAAAAAATCTGCGATTCTTTCATTATGAATTTGGTAATTGGGTCAATTCCATGTATGTATAAAATAGACATTGATAAAATAAAAATTATTTCTTTAATACTTATAATTTATGGCACTTGTAATGCTCATTTTCAACGTTCAACTTTCAATTTACATGTATAATTCTATCAGTATGAGAGAAGAATAGATCTGTTTGAAGTGTTCGCTGTTTTGATTTTTGTAAATAATACATATTAGCGTGCACGGAGACTTGGGTAAATTTCAAAATATAAAAGAGATTATGGAATATATGAAAACGAGTAAAAAGATATTGGTAACCAAAAAAAAAAAAGGTTTTTATAACATAATCTTCTATTGCGCCTATTACAATACCAAGAATTTTGATCTGTTATCGCAGGTTTATATTATAATGATTCTGTATTAAGCTGCATTTCATAATACGTATGTATGTATGTACATAGGTATATCTGTCAAATATGTGGTAAATCTAATTTATCTAAAATGTTTTTGATTTAATGAGACTTAACTATGCATATTTTTGACATTATAGTTGACATTGGCAATTATTGAATTTATTTTAGTATTAATTGTGAACATTTTCGCATTCTTTATCAATTGTAACACTAAAATACTATGTATTGAAATCCGTTTTTTAAATTCATATTTCATTTCAAAATTTTAACAATTCTTTTAAATTTCGTATGTATTTGTTTCAATTGAAATACATATGTCGAAGTATGTATACATAAGTCGATGGAATCTGTACAGATGTCTATATGGGAAAAAATTTTAAATACATATATTTCATTTGTGAAATTGATAATGCGTTTCTAGTTATTAAATTAATTAAATTTTTAAACTCTTTAATAGTTGACTCTATTAGAATCATTTTTCAAAAACATGGAATTATTAGACTTTGAGTTTTGACAATTATTGAAAAATTGCAATAAACAACAGTGATGAACATCGAGCTATATACATTATATTCTAGTTACGAATTATTTGACAATTTCTAATTACAATTATAACTACTAAGTATAGAAAAAAAAAGGAAAAAATAAGGTACAAGATGGTTGTAATGTTTCATAACAATCATTTCATATAATTTGAATAAAAATGTATCGAGTATTTCTTTTTTTCTTTTTGTCTTCTTTTTCAAAGAAAATAAATTATTAATTTTGCTATGTAAAGTTTGTATATGCAACTATTGAGTTTTCAATTGAATCTGTGTTTAAATGAAAATATTAGGCACACATATTGGAAGATCGTAGTAATAGGAGGGGCAGTTCTAAAATCAACTTCAACATGAATAAAATTACATTTAAAAGGAATACGAAGCATACACAAAACAAAAACTATATACAAATATACGTATGCTTCCAACTATAAGCAAAATATCTCTGTGAAAATCGAAATCTCTTCTTATGATAATCGACGTATTTCGTGTGTTCATTAAACTCGACTATATTACATTTTTGAGAAAAATGTGTTCATTATATAATAAATCTCTTTCTACATACATACAATTGCTCGGCGAGAAAAAGTACAAGCGGGTACTTGAAATAAATTTGAGAAACGTTCAAAAACTCTACGTAGTTCAAACGGTACAAAAATTTGAATTACCTAATTGTTCTAGCGATCTATAAAATATTGTAATATATTTATCTGAGTAGGGTTTAGAATAAAGTCTTTATTGCGCTTACTTATGTAAGTGAGGTATTATAAATTGATATAAGTTGTATTAGAACATTTGTGTCAATAGACTATCGTTTGATTGTAATAAATCAGTACTTTACATAATCTATTCGTTATTAACTATTGTTGCACTGAATTTAACTAATCTTGTATTCATTTATTTGTTTTTGCTCGAAGAGTATTTTAATTTACTTAAATATTACAACACGTCGGTAAAAGATTTACAATGAAAAATGTCAATAAAAATTTTTAATACAATGTAAAAATATCAAAATATGTTAACACGATTTAATACGAAATTTTTGTAATTGAAATAACGTTTTTAATATTTTTTTGTTTTCTCCTTCCCTTTTTTAAATTTCTCATAATCATGTAAATATTTATATGACAAATTTAAACATAGTCAAAGATGTGATAAAAAGCAGTCAAAAATATGTACGCATATACTCTAAATAATCGAAAATAATGTATGAACACTGTACATACATAAAATGATACGTTTATAAACAAGGTGTCTGTACAGGTCAGAATCGAAAAGAATAACATTTTTCTCACTTACGCTCTCGTTTCTGAAAAATTCAAGTTTAAACATTTGCCGTATATTTGAATTTCGGATTGGACGACAAACCTGAAGTTATTCTACGTTGGAAAATGAACAAAAGATAAGAAATAAAATTGTCATTGAAAATTAAATTTAGAAATTTATCAAGTACACATATGTACTGAACCATATTTTATTAAATACGCTTAAAATATGTTTCTTTTGAAAACGAAGCTTTAAATGGGAAAATTCTATTTTACATTCTTTTCACACATTTCCGCATATAGAATAATTTATCGATTATTCACACCTGTTCGGTTCGGAAACCAAATTCAAATATACTTGGTAAATTTTCAAACAGGATTTCTTAAAAAATGAAGTCTTTAATGAAAAGGTGTTTTTTTTGTACGTACTTATTTTTGTATGTACGTAGAAACAGAATGCTCTCTGTCAGTTTTACGCAATATGTAT